CACAGACACACACACACACACAAACAAGCAAACAAAGAAATGGGGAGCAAGAAACTGGGTCTCTGCCAGGCCTGGTAGTGCAGACCTAGCTAACTGTGAGGCTGAGGCAGGAAGACTGCGAGCTCGGGCCGGCCTGGAAAACTGAGGTCATGCCTAATGCAAACCGACAACAGCAAGAACTCCACTGAGTGGAGCCGGATTCAGCGACAGCTGCACCTGGACACTCCAGGGAGCCGGACAACCCGAGTGAAGGCCAGATCAACCAACAGCATCAGCGTCGCTTACCTGGTGACATTAAAAAGAAGATTCACAGCTGGGCGGTGGTGGCGCACGCCTTTAATCCCAGCACTCGGGAGGCAGAGGCAGGCGGATCTCTGTGAGTTCAAGGCCAGCCTGGGCTACTGAGTGAGTTCCCGGAAAGGCGCAAAGCTACACAGAGAAACCCTGTCTCGAAAAACCAAAAAATAAATAAATAAAAAGAAGATTCATTTGTTTAATATTTTATCTGCAGGAATGCCTGCCTGTGCAACATGCGTGTGTTTGGTGCCCTCAGAGGACAGAGAAGGGAGTTAGATCTCTGGGGCCGCCTTGATATTGCTGGGAACAGAACACAGGTCCTCTGGATGAGCAGGCAGTGTTTTTAACTGCTGAGTTCTCTCTCCAGTCCTACCCGTCGACACAGCAATCTTCTCTTGTGTGGGTACACTCTACAATGTTCTCATAACAGAACCATTACCAGCCCAGCAGGGCAGTGCACACCTGTACTGTTAAGAGTCTACAGCTGTCAGTTCCCGTCTGAACCCAAGGCTAACACACGCTATGCAAGCATCATACCACAGGGCTGTAAGCCATGCAGCTGAGGTAAGGGATTGTCATGGGTTTTAGACTTCCTCTGCTGTAGAGTAAGGCCCTGCCTAAAGAAAAAAAAATAAATAAATAAAGGAGGTGGGGGGGGTAGCAGAGACAGGGATGGGAAGTTGGTTCAGAAGAGCACTTCCTGCTCTTCCAGAGAATCCAAGCATATAATCCACAGCATATAAGTTGGGTGGCTTATAACTGCCTTTAACTTATTCCAAGGGATCTGGCTTCTGTGGGTATCTGCACAAAGGTGCACACATTCACACAGATACACGTCCATAAATAAAAAAAACTAAAAAATAAACTGAGGGAGTGTAGAGAGCCAACTCAGCAGGTAAAGCCAAAACTGACAACCTGAATCCCTGGGGCATGCATGGTGGAAGAGAACCAACTCTCTCACATTATCCTCTGACCTCTACAGATGAGCTGTGGCAAGTGTACCCTTTATAAATAAATAAGTGCAAAAAACTGATTTTTAAAACAAGACATCCAAATCTCAAATTATATCACTGTTCAAACCAATAGCATTATAGTCACAAGTTTTTAAAAAGCCAGGTGTATATCTTTAATCTCAGCCCTTGAGAGGTAGAGGCAGGCAAATCTCTGTCAGTTCTAGGCTATCCTGGTCTACATAGTGACTTTCAGGCTAGTCAGGGCTTTAGAGTAACAACCTATTCAAAATCAAAACAAAACAAAAAAAAACAAAACTAATACAGCTGGAGAGATGGCTTAGCGATTAAGGACATTTGTTGTTCATGCATAGGACCCATATTCAGTTCCCAGCACCCATGAGGTGGCTCACAGTGACCCATGACTCCAGTTCCAGAGATCCAATGCCCTCTTCTGACCTCCTCAGACATTCATCTGCTGTACATGCATACACACAGGCAAAATAATCATACACATAAAATACTTAAAACTGAAAAGCAAGATGAAGTGCAGCACTTGGCAGAGGAGGTGTGGCAGCAGAGTGGGAGCAGGTCCCGGAAAGACAGCCCGAGGCAAGGGGTTGGCAGTGTTACTACAAGGTGTTAGAAAAGAAAGTGAGTTCTGGAGCCTGCTGGTATACATTTATAATCTTAGCTACTTGGAAGACTGAAGAAAAGCACGAGTTCAAATTGGTCAGACTATGTGTCAAAACTAAGTTCCTATAGACAGATACAGTTCTCATCATTAAACACCCTTGTATAGAGTTTGGGCAATACACTTCCATTATTTAAGAATTCTGCTATTGGCCTGTGTGGTAACTCACACTTTTAATCCCAGCACTGGGAAGGCAGAAGCAACTGGATCTCTATGACTTTCAGGCCATCAAGGGCTACAAAGTGAGACCGTTTCAAAAATAAGTAAGTAAATAAATAAACAAACAAACAAGACTCTTGCAATCAAGCCTGTAATCCTAGCACCAAGGTGGGGGCAGGAGACAGTAGTTCAAGGTCACACCTACAGTTCACGAGACATTTCACCAAAGGGACTTTTCATGCTGGGGATGTAGTTCCGTTGGCAGAGTGCTTACCTGGCTCTAGGCTCCATCTGATCCCCATCACTGAATAAACCAGGTGTGGTAACTTGCGCCTGTAATCCTAGCACTCAGGTAAAGACTCAAGTATCAGAAATTCATAGTCAGAGCCAGGTGTGATAGTAATCCCAGCACTTGGGAGGTAGATCTCAGAGTTTCGGGCCAGCCAGGGCTACATAAGGTCAGAGCCACCTAGTTTTATCCCCAGACCCACAAGTGGAAGGAGAAATGATCCCTGTAAATTGTACATATATGTAGGTACATGTGTATACGTGTACACGTACACACACACACACACACACACTGAATGAATGAATGAATGAATGAATGAATGAATGTAATTTAAAGTTTTAAAAAGGGCCAGAGAGTTTGCTCACTGGTTAAGAGTGCTTATTGATCTTGCAGAGGGTCTGAGTTCATTTCCCAGAACCCATATGGCTCACAACTAACTGTAATTCCCTTTCCAGGTTATCTGACACCTTCTTCTGACCTTGAAGGGCCCCAGGCACACATTCGTAGGCTAAACATTCATACACATAAAATGAAGTACATCTTTTTTTGAATTATAAAAAAATCCAAAAAAAATCCAAGGTCATCTTCAGTTACAAAACTAGTTCTGAGCTAGGTATTTCAGCACCATGACAGGCTCTGAAGAGACTACCCAGATGGCTGGGTGGGTACCAGCACTTCCTACACAAGCCTGAGGACCTACTAGTGCTTTCTCAAACACAGACAAATAAAAACAAAAGTTAGTAAAATATAATTGTATACCCCTGTGAAATTATTATTATTTTAGAAACAAGGGAATTAGAGTCCAAGAGGCTAACCCACCCAAGGTCATACTTGGAGGCTAAACAGGACTCGGGTTGTCATCAGGTAGCCTTATTCCAGGGGTAAGTTGCAGGCTCTGGGCAGGCCTGACTAGAGCCTACGGGGAGCTATTGCTTAGCATGCACGAAACCCTGGGTTCCATCTCCAGCACCACCCCACCAATGACAACAACGGCCAATCAACCTACCTGGCATCCGCCTGGTTGGGCTGTACAAGATGTGCCACCCCATTGAGGTGCACGTTTCGGTCTATAAGCTCTACAGCTCGGGCAGAGGCATCATTGGCAACCACAGACTGGAGGCCAGGAATCTCTAGGGCGAATCGGATGGAGCGTAGACCAGATGCTGCCAGGCCTTCCAGTACCCGTAGACCTTCCTGTTAGAAGTAAGCAAAGATGTGTCTGTCTTCTTTTTTAATAATATCACTTACTATTGACTCAGTTCTCTCCTTCCACCACAGATTCAAACTCAGGTCTTAAGGCTTTCTTGGTATGCGCTTTACCAGGGAGCCATTTTGCTGGCTGATGCTTAGGTCTCCATCTTTCTTCTGGGCCCTCGTGATCTCCCACAACCACCCTCTGTAGTTCCTCAGCTCCTTCCTATCACCCAGACCCCCAAGATGCACCGCTTACTCAGGCCCTACCTCACAGATCTCACCAACTGCAGCTGTCCGAGGCTGGCCTCCCGGGGTCAAGTTTTCATCCTCTTTCTGTTCAGCCTTTTCCTCTTCTTGCTCAGACAAGTTCACGCACACTTTCTGCAAGTCCTTCTCTCCTGGTACCTTGACTGCAGACACCCAGGCAAAAACCAGAGGCTATCAATGATCCTTTTAAGAAATTCCACCATAATTTTCAAATCGTCAAACTCCTGATGATACATGCCAGAAAAGTCTTCCCCCAAATCCCAGGAGAAAGGCAGAAGGAACAGAGAGGCTAGAGGCTTCAGGAGCCAAAGAGAGCCATGGATAAAGTGGGAAATGCCGGGTGGTGGTGACAGCAGCACACACCTTTAATCCCAGCAGTCAGGAGGCAGAGCCAGGCGGATCTCTGTGAGTTCGAGGCCAGCCTGGGCTACAGAGCGAGTGCCAGGACAGGCACCAAAACTACAGAGAGAAACCCTGTCTTGAAAAACCAAAATAAAATAAAGTAGGAAATGTGACCCTCTACTCCCAGGCCTGAACCTCCACTTACTCTGGATTCCCTTGGCCCCAAGATGAGTCCGAGCAAACTCAGTGATCACAGCACATCTGGAAGGGGGATGGCGGGGTGGTCAGCTGTGACCTGGGTCCGAAGTCCTCCCTTTAACATTCTTGAAAGGTTATTGTCCCTCCCTAATCCATAAATTCGTCTCTCTGTTGCACCAAATTCTAAATAAAGAGAACTCCCACCTCAATGGCTAAGATGTTAACTGTTGCATCTTTAGATCTTTAGACCCAGAAAACCTGATAGTGACCTTTCAAAGGTCGGCCCTCAGTCCTCAATTCAAAGCATGCAAATTGATATGAAATTTGACTTGCAGAAAAGTAACAAGCCTGTGTGAATACAACTACATGAACCAGCTCTGGGAAGTCCAAGCCCACCACCAAGTTGAAAGAAAAGGAAAAGGGGGAGACACGCCTTGAATGCCCAAGAACACTAAATGGCATGTATAACCTTGTCCCTTACAATAAAAACCCCTGGTGCGCGCCTTCATCTTTCAAGATGCCGGCCTTCGATTAAAGCTGACTCCTCCCTACCAACTCATCTCTCCCCACTAGTGGCCTTCGAGTTGTGCGCGCCCCGAACTGATATTCCCGGAATATCTTCTACCTCACTGCCCCATTCCCTTGGCCAAGCTGATCCCCGACCCTTGCTCACGTCAGGTCCCGGTTGAACTCCTGCACCGGGTTGTAGAAAACCTCGTTGGCGTTAGGGAAGACGATCTTGGCAGCGCCCTCGGTGATAGTCGCCTCCGGGGCCGCGGGTGGGCGCTCTTCACAGGGCCGGGTGCCGTTCTCCATCGCTGGTGGAGAGGGCGGCCCCTGGGCCTTCTGTTCCATGAACTGAGCTCTACAGAGGATGCGGGCCGGACGGAGAGGGCGGCTTAGCCACAGGACCGTCCTCGCGTGGGACATCCACGGGCGCCTCAACCCTCCTGCCGTTTTCGAGGGAAGGGGAAGGGCAGAGGGAGGTCAGAGTGCTGCATTCTGGGTCGTCGGGGGTGGCTTACACATCTATAAAGTAGGAACTAAACCCCCCTGGCCTCGATAAGGCCTGCGTTTCCAAAGGCACTGGACTCAGTAGAGCCTGAGGCCAACAGCGCAGATCCACCCCCAGCCGGCCAGCAAGCCCACCTCCAGCCCCACCCCACACACATCCACACCCGGGCACGCTTCACCTCTCTGCTCACAGGACACCAGCCCCGGTGCACGCTTCGCGCATTAGGACCTGGGAGCGGCCATGTTGGCAAAGAGGGCGGGCCGATCACATGACAGTAGCTGACCAATTAACGACACGACTCACGGTGGGCGACCAGGATCAATATTCTTCCAGGAGGGGAAGTGCGGAGCTCGCTACATGCGTGGTTTTTAATAGTGCGATTCTTCTACAAAGGAGTTTCATTGCAGTTTAGTTCAGGACAAAAGCCGGAGAAACTTGGCACCTTTAGATGCCCCCGTGTGCACTTTACAGGTTAACTCAGGCTCTGGAATAGGAGTCACTGCCTTTGAGTCTCAGTCCCACCACATACTCTTTTGAACAAGTTACTTAAAATGTAAGACTCTCATTTCCTACCTGTAAATAAGAACCTTAGCTTCCAAGAAAGAGCAAAGATCAAACAACCGAGTGCCTGGGAAGTGTGCAGAGGAGCCACTGAAGACCGTAAGCCCTGAGTTTGGGCCTAATGTATGAAGGCAGGGAGTGTGGCCACCCGTGATGTGAGCTGTGCAGCTGGCCTCGCAAGCTCTCCCTCTCTCAATGGGGTGTAAAAGGTACTCGTGGTCCAGGCTGTTCTGGAACTCACTATCTAGCCCAGGGCGGCTTGGAACTCCTCAGGAGATTTTCCTGCTTCAGTCTCCCAGATGCTGAGATTGCAGACATTAACGACCAGGCCCGGCAGTACCTGCTTTGCTTTAGATTGATCTTATTCTTAACGTCTGTGTATGTAGGTAGGTATGTGCGCTAGTGTGCAAATCCCCGAAGAGCAAAGAGGTGGTGGATCTTCTAGCACTGTAAACAATTGTGAGCCACCTGACGTGGGTGCTGGGAACTGAATTCTATGCTGCAAGGGCAGTGTACGCTCTTACTGGCCGAGTATGCTCTCCAGTCCGAACTATTTGTACTTGACCCTGCTTCCCCATCTGAAAAGTAGCCAGACCGCTTTAACGTTATGAAACATAATTACCCGAGTTAGTGCAAAATGCTAACAGAACTTGACATCGCGTAAGCACCTTAAGTCTTAGCTTCACCGACCTCTTGAGCCTATGCTTAAAAATCTTGGCATTCACCGTCACTTCCCTCTGTGTGATCTTGAGCGAGTTCCCTCAGTTCCATGAAACCTCGTTCCCATAAAGAGCTTAAAACTGTACCTGGAACAACAACCTGCCCCACAGTCACGCAACTAACTAGACAAGTCTACAGAACAGAGACCCTGGAGGAAGAAGCCGGTGGGAACTAAAGCGCTCGGAGCGCAGCTAAGTTTGCCTAAGGGGCGGGGCCGACGCCGTTTCCTCCCTGCCGGCTGCGCCGTGCGCTTCCTCGGCGCTCGGCTGGGGCGGCCTGGCCCACAATGAATGGCCGCCGCGGCTACCACTGCTGTTGAGGCGGAGGCCGCGGAGGCCGCAGAGGCGGAGGCCGAGGCCGAGGCGCAGGGGGGCGCGCCCCGGGCCCAGGCCCGGCCCCAGCTGCCGCTGCGGAGCCCGCCGGGAGGCCCCGGAGCGCGGCCACAGCGCAGGTGAGATGGCCCGCCCCAGGCCCAATCCCGGCCTCCTCCCGCCGGGGCGGCCCGAGGACATCCGAGGTTCCGGCCGAGGGCCGGGAGGGGAGGCCCCGGGGCGCCCGGCTGGGAGCGGGAAGCCGAGTCCGCGATGCTGACAGCGGCGGGAGGGCGAGGCTGAGGTGGCCTGGTCCCAGCCGGCGGCCTACAGCGTCCGGCCCCGGGCCAGGCCCGTGGGGCTCGAGGGCGGCCCGAGGGAGGCGGCGGTCGCCGGCTCCTGAAGTCGCAGGGCCGGAGGGAGTCATTGTAAGGAGGCGGCGGGCGAGGCCGGAGGGGGAGGGGAGGCCTCGGGCTGGCCGGGCGGGGGGAGGGGGAGAGGCTTCGCCGCCCAGGGGAGAGGGCCTGCAGGGGAGCCGCCGGGCCGGAGCCCGCAGGTAGGGAGCCCAGGGGAGGGGTGGGCGGGTCAGGTTACAGGCCTGGGGGGACAGCGAGGAAAAGCCCGGGAAGTGGGGCTCGGTGGGTGGGGGCGGAGCCTGCTCGCGTGGGGGCGGACTGGAGATCCCAGGGAGGTTTGCAGGGGGTCACGCGAGGTCAGGGCTCAGAGATGTGCGGAGGGTGAGGCACATCGCGGGGGTGGGGGGCGCCAGGTAAGGCCGGGGGCTCCGACAGAGTGTTGGGAGTTTGGAGAGGCGCAGGGCCTGAGGACTGGGCTGGTGGGGATGTGGGGGTGGCAGGTGAGGAGAGCCAGTGTGACCTAAGCAGTCTGCCTCCCCGACCCCCATCCCCCAAGTGTTTGCCCAGGGTCAGAACCGGGGGTTTCCTCGGTCCCACGCCTCTTCTCTGCAGCCTCGGCCAGCTGCTAAGCAGGGACCGGCCAGCGGGTGGGTGGGAGTTGGCGTGGGCTGCACCGGATACCTAGCTCAAACCTCGTGTTTTCCGTATGGATGGCCCCGTTCATCCCCCACCCCCACCTCACCCACCCTGCAGAGAGACAGCCCGGCCGACTTTACCTGAGTGTTTTAGAGTCCTGTATTCGTTCTCAGCCTTCTGGCGCCGGAACCTGGGGTCTCAAGTCTAGGAGACAAGACCTCACAGCCTGTTTGTGCTCCCTAGCTTTCCAAGCCCAGCCTGCTGCTTGGGCCTTAATTCTATGCCCCCTCGCAGGTAAAATATTGGGATGGTGAGTGCCTGAAGCTCTGTTCTCTCTTTGAGACCAAACAGGCACCTACACATCCTGACTCTTGCCTTGGGGGCTCCTGATTCCGGGACCCATCCTCCCTCCTTGGTTCTCCTTCTAGGTCAGGTAGTATGCTAAGCCGATCGGCGAGTAAGCCCATTGATAGCTCACCACCGATGGGTCTTAGGCTTTCTCTTCAGAGAAAGAAGCTGAGGTTCGGGGCGGGGCTTGTCCCTGGTCATATGACTAGACTGTGGCCTATGCCTAGTAAATCGAGTTGGCCCTCCTGGGCACCAGCAGAGAAATTCCTGCTGGTCTGATTCCCTGTTGATGGACTCTTCTTGGACCTGGCCTTTTCTAGGCTGCCTGGAGTGGCTCAATCAATCCCCTTGCAGATGGATCAAGTTTCCCTGGAGTTCAAGGAAAAGTGTGTGGGGCCTGTCAGCTGAGGCCTGCTCATACTTTCTCTTCCATTCCGCATCTGGGAGCCAGGGGCACAGGCTATAGGAGGTGGTTATAAAAGTGGGTCTTGGTGGTTTGGGAGTGGATTTTGTTTTGCTTGCCTAGGCTTTGTTTTCTCCGCTTCGATTTCTTATCAAACTGCTCCAGCTCTGGACTAATTGCAAGGTTAACAGTGTATTCCTGGGCAGGGGTGTGTGTCTGTGTGTGTGTGTGTGTCTGTGTGTGTGTGTGTGTCTGTGTGTGTGTGTGTTGGGGGGTTAGGTTTTGTTTTAGTATTTTTTTTGTTGGTTTTTGGTTGCTCTTGGGTTGTGGGGGGCAGTGACAGTGTTACTCCAGCTCAGGCTGACCTTGAACTTACTGTGTGGCCTATGCTAGCCTTGAACTATGGCCCTCTTGTCTCGGTATCCCAATGCTACAATTATATAGGCATGAGCTACCACATACAGGCTGTCCTGGTGGCTTTGATTGAACATCCTCAGCACCAGAGGCAGGAACCACAAACTTCTGGGTGACTGGTACCAGCCAATCCTGGGTTTGATGATGACTTTTCTCCCTTTCCCCTCATCTCCTTGGAGTTTCCAGACCACGACTACCACCAGTTGCCTCTGCCCTGGTATCTTGCTTGGTTCTGTTGGGGCTGGGGACTGGACCAGCAACCTGTGTAAAGAACTTAGTGCTTGCTTGCATTGTTCTCTGCACTCTGCTGCTGCAGCTCTCCTTACAGTCCTGCCGCTGTTAGTGGACTAGTGTCGCCTCAGAACCTTTATACTTGCCTTTGTTCCTGCCACTGGTTGCTGCTGCAGCCTTGTGCTTTGGCTGTTGAGGGACCAAGGGAAGCTGCTAGGGCATATATGGGCTGCTCCCAGGCCTCAGCTGGGTGGGTTATTGAGGACAGATGGTGTCAACTAGTCACAGCTGGAATGCAGAACTAACTGGTAGGAGTTAGTTGGCCCTGAAGTATGGAGGCAGAAATGGTTAGCCGGCACCTCCACCTGAAACTAGAACAGAAGGTGCACTGGTCATATCTGCCTTTCAGTGTGAACTCAGGCAAGCCCAACAAGCAGACAGGCTGAAGTGGACAGTTTGATTTCAGTGTTCTGTGCCCGTTCCCTTGCTGGGAACTGAAGAAGCCGCTCTGAGTAACACATTCATCAGGAGTTGGTTCTGGCAATTCCTGTTCAGATGGTGACCAAACTTAGACAAGGAAATGGTCCCCGGAGGAACAGAGAAACTAGGCTGCTCTGTTAAAGACGATGGTATACCAAGGCGAGGAGATGGTCAGTGGTGTGGGGCCAGAGAGATTTCCATTGGGTAGTCAAAGAGCCATGATCTGAATAAGAAGGAAGTTAGGTTGGGGGTGGTGGTGTTCTGGATGAGGACAACACATTCAAAGCTTTTATTGAGTGTGTGCCAGGCTCCTGCTGAGTTACCAAACATTCTGTCTTTGTGGGAGTAGAGTGAGGGATGACCCTGGTGTGGGGCAGAGATCCTTCATGCTGTCCACAAGAAAGAAGAACCCAGTCAGAGGATCCCATGGGTCTCCCAAACACCCCAGGCAAAGTTCAGATCCCTTGACTTATATCCAGAGGCCCCCCTCCCCCTTTTTTTTTCTCAAGACAGGGTTTCTCTGTGCAGCTCTGGCTGTCCTGGAATTCACTCTGTAGACCAGGCTCAAACTCACAGAGATCCGCCTCTGCCTCCCAAATGCTGGGATTAAAGGCGTGTACCACCACAGCCCAGCCATTCAGTCTCTTAAAAATCTGTCCACCACCACCCACCTCAGGTTCATGAACTAGGCTTTCTGGAAATCTGTGTTTATGCTGTACAGACCCATTAGAAGACTGGCCAATGAGCTCTGACCCAGGGGTTTATTGCCAGAGCCAGCGGAAACAGCACCTGCCTGGCCCAGCTGCACACCTGAGCAGAGCTTGAGGCAGTGCTGGGTGAGTGTGTCCCCTTCTTGTGAATTCCTTTCCCTTCCGTACTAGGATTCTACGCCTGGATTATACTGAGCACTCCTCTGTGTTGGAGCTCATTCAAGCCCATGACTAGATAGCCCTACGTGTTTTCATCACTATCTGGCTCATGATAAAACTGAAGCAGTCCTTTCTTCATGTAACCTTCTTCTCTGAAACCTGCAATAGTGGCCTGTTGCTAATGGCGTCCTCCCTGAAGTGCATTGACCCTGTCTGTGGGTGGGTGGGATTAGGAGAGAGTCAGGCAGGTCAGAACTAACATGTCATCGTTTGTGCCCCAAGGATGCTTGTCGTCCTGTCTGCTCTCAGCAGAGTTGCAAAAGTTAGAACTTGTGGGACTTCTGTGCCTGGTGTCTTCTAAGTAGAGCAGAGAAGATGAGGATGAGTGGATATTATGATGGAGCAGAGTCAGATGTCACTGCTGGGCCACTCTACTTAGCCCTGAGACCCTGGCTAGAGGTCTTAGGCCAGGGTTACTTGCTAGCCTAAGGCAGTTGTGTAGGATAGCGCTCCACCACCAAGAATTGAGCTGGTGGCCAGACATGGTAATACACACCTTTAATCCCAGGACTAGGTGGCAGAGGCAGGTGAATCCAGGCCAGCCAGGGCAACATAGTGAGACTCTGTCAACAACAAAAGAATGACCTGGTGTAAATGACATTAATTTGGTGCTCCAGTAATACCTGGTGTCTGGTTTTGGGGGAGGGGGAGGATTATGGGAGATTCCTGTTGTCTGTGTGCTGAACTGGGCTGTGAAAGTACTGAGGAACCCTTCAGGATGACTGCCTGATGGGTAATCCCTGCAACAGTACAGGTTCCAGGAGACAGTGAAAGGCCTAGGATGACAGTTTACAGACAGGAAGGTGCACAAGAGACAATACCAATAATAGCTGGTGGTGTTGATGTCAGCTAAGAACAACTGAGGTGGTTCTGGTGTTAGTCCTAAAACGTGTTTGTGGGGCAGTAATTTGTGGGAGTTGGTTCTTTCCACCTTGTGGGTGTTGGAGATTAAACTCAGGTTGCCAGGCTTAGCAGCAGATATCTTTACCCACTGAACCATGTCACCAGCCTGTGTTAATTCTTTTCATAGACTGATATCAAGCCAGTAGTACTATACATCACCAGTGGCAAACATTGTCAAAGATTTAAGCCTGGTAGAATACAGAAATACCTCTGTTTGCAGGTTCTGCATCTGCATACTTGACCATAAATTGAAAACTATTCAAAAACAGTGTTGTGCCTACCTTGAACATGTACACACTTCACTTGCTGCTTTTTGTGGTTTTTTGGTTTTGGTTTTGGTTTTTCGAGACAGGGTTTCTCTATGTAGCTTTGCACCTTCCTTGAACTCACTCTGTAGCCCAGGCTGGCCTCAAACTCACAGAGATCCTCCTGGCTCTGCCTCCCGAGTGCTGGGATTAAAGGCTTGCGCCACCACTGCCAGGCTCTTTTTGTGATTTTAAGAATGGAATCCAGAGCCTATGCCTGCTGGGCAAGCACTCTACCATTGAGCTGCACCCCCTGCCCTGAACAGACTTGTTTTTTCTCCTTATCCCCTAAACAATACCATTTTGAGACAGGATCTAGCTACACATACATAGTCCAGACCAATCTTGAACTAATGATTCTCCTGCCTCAGCCTCCCAAATGCTGGGGTTAGTAGGGCATATAACTAGCTTCTTTGATTTATGTATTTACTTTTTTAAAAATTAAATTTTAATTTATTTATTTGGCAGGGTGTGGAGATCAGAGGACAACTTGGGGAAGTCAGTTCTCTCCTACCATGTGGGTCCTGGGGATCACTATTCTGGAGGCAAGCTTTACCTAGTGAGCCATCTCGTTGGCCTTGCAACTAGCTGGCTTCTGACATCTCTTCTGTAGCATTTTCATTAGATTTGGTACTGGAAGCCATCTAGAGGTAATTTAAGGTGTAGAAGCACTGGAGGTGTCACTCAGCAGAAGAGCACTAGCCTGCTATGCAGAGGTCCTAGGTTCTATTCCCAGCACCAAAAACAACAAGCTACCAGAGGAAGTGTTTACATTCTATGTACCACTATGCCAATCATACAAAGGACTGGGGCGTCTGTGTTTGAAGAGATGTGAGTTCTCCAGGCAGGTCTTTGTTCTGTTGTTTACTTTGTTTTACCATAGTCTTGCTATATGGAACCTTAAACTCCTAGCTCAAGTGGTCCTCCTGCTTTAGCCTTCCAGGTAGGTGAGACTAAAGCCTCAGTTTTCTTATTTGATGAATGGGGGAAAACAGTCATCATACCTGACCTGTAGGTGCTCTCAGCCAGGGTCCAGAGCTAGACTGGACTACCTACATGTACCAAGACTTGATCTCAAAACAAGTAAGAGTTGATGCGTTGTCTCGTTTAACATGTGTCCCTTTGCTGGTACCATGGTCCTGCATGGTCTCCAGTGCATCTCAACAAGGCCCATCTGCAGTGGAACCATCCTCCCTCAGCTCCACTGCTAATACTAGTTATGCCTGTCACCTCAGAGACTTTGCACTTGATCTTTGTTCCCCTGCTCGGTCTTTTGGGTCTGAAGGTGCTCAGAGTGGACTGTGACTCGGAAGAGTAGGCTTAAAATCAGACCTGATGGCATTACCCAGGTCAGGGCTCCATGAAGACAGGCAGAACAGCTGCTGTGCTCTGTAAGGATCTGAAGTGGCTACAGGCAGAAGGTAAAGTGCAGGGACTACTTAGAGCAAGGAGGACGAGGGAGCAGACAGAGATGCCCATTCCTGGA